TGCGGCCAGGGGGCCCTGCGCCCTCCGGAGCACGTAGGAGCCGGGCTGAGAGGGAACAGCAGACCCGCGAAGGAGGCCCGGGAGAAGTGTGGCCCTCTCTCCTGTTGCGGAAGAGGTGTTTAGGATCTGGGGAGTCTTTTTGTGTGTAGGCGCCCGTAATGGTTCTGGGCGTGCAACTCCTGGAAGTGTCAGTGGAATTTGATAGTAATGTACATTTATGAATGCTGCTAGGCCAAATACGAACAATGACAAGGTAATGTTGGGGCAGAAGGTGGGGTTAGGAGCAGTAGGATAAGATGAGGAGTGGAAAGTTATATTTCTGTAGAAATCTTCAAAGAGGGCAAGCGTTTCTAGGCTATGGAACAGACTTAGACAAAACAGACAGGCTCTAGTTTTTGTCAAGTAGTGCACTTCCATTAGGCAGAGAAATTTTCTTTTACGTGTTTCAGGGAGTGGCTCACTACAAGCAGCACGCCCACATATCAGGCCACATCACACCTCAGCTATTCCCTTCTTGCTTAATGCTGGTGTGGAGTTTGTAAACACAGCAAATCCTGTTGTCAGTTTGTAGATGGCTGTGTTGGTTCTGTCTTAGTAGCTATATACCAGCAAAACCAAAGTGTGCTGCAGGGAAAGTGGGGTATTGCAGAGAATGTTTAAGGTTTTGTTCTGAAATGTATATATGTTAAACCCTGGGGCTGAAAGTCATCCAGAACTGTATTTTTGTTTGTTTAAAGATGATCTCAGATTACAAAGGAATTGGATTTTGATAACATTCCTACAAATTATTTTCTCAGCAGTTTCCACATGCATGGATATCACCTGAATCTTCTTACAAGTGCTTAAATTGTATGTAAACTTACCCTAAACATGAGTGGCTCCAAACCTGATATTCTGTGGGCCCCACACCATGTTGACAGATTCGTTGTATGCGATTCAGAATTGAGCCTTTATCACATTGACTCTGCTGTAAGTTCAGAACTCAAGGCAGGGTCCTTGCGGTTATCAGAAGAAACGACAGCTACACTACTGTCAATAAATTCAGATACACCGTATATGAAATGTGTGGCTTGGTATCCGAAGTACGATCCCGAATGTCTCCTTGCTGTTGGACAGGCCAATGGTCGAGTGGTACTTACTAGCCTCGGTCAAGATCACAACTCAAAATCTAAAGATCTGATAGGCAAAGAATTTGTTCCCAAACACGCACGTCAATGCAATACCCTCGCGTGGAACCCACTAGACAGCAACTGGCTTGCTGCTGGGCTGGATAAACATCGGGCTGACTTTTCAGTATTGATCTGGGATATCAGTAGCAAATATGCCCCAGACACAGCAGTTGCTACAGAGAAAGTAAGACTTGCAGCAGGAGATCCAGAAGGAGGACTGGTAGTAACAAAGCCACTGTATGAATTGGGACAGAACGATGCTTGTCTCTCTCTCTGTTGGCTTCCACGGGATCAGAAGCTGCTTTTAGCTGGAATGCATCGAAATCTGGCTATCTTTGATCTGAGGAACACAAGCCAAAAAATATTTGTAAACACCAAGGCTGTCCAAGGAGTGACTGTCGATCCCTACTTCCACGATCGTGTAGCTTCCTTCTATGAAGGTCAGGTTGCCATATGGGATTTAAGAAAGTTTGAAAAGCCAGTTTTGACCTTGACAGAGCAACCAAAACCCTTAACAAAAGTCGCATGGTGTCCAACAAGAACTGGACTGTTAGCTACATTAACGAGGGATAGTAATATCATTAGACTGTATGACATGCAGCATACTCCCACCCCAATTGGAGATGAAACTGAGCCAACAATAATTGAAAGAAGTGTCCAGCCGTGTGAAAACTACATTGCTTCATTTGCCTGGCATCCCACAAGTCAAAATCGAATGGTAGTAGTGACTCCCAACAGGACAATGTCTGACTTCACAGTTTTTGAAAGAATTTCTCTTGCCTGGAGTCCAGTGACATCCTTAATGTGGGCTTGTGGACGACATTTATATGAATGTACAGAAGAAGGAAAAGCTAGTTCCTTGGAAAAAGACATAGCCACCAAAATGCGGCTTAGAGCTCTATCAAGGTATGGTCTTGATACTGAACAAGTTTGGAGAAATCACCTCCTAGCTGGAAATGAAGATCCTCAGCTGAAATCGCTTTGGTACACTCTGCATTATATCCTTTATTTTACTGTAGTTTATATCCTAAAGAAGTAATATACCTTTATATGTAAAACAGTTATATGAAATACATGAAAATCTTTAAATATAATGCAACATCCTGTAAATACTTTGCATATGTTAAGAGGATGTGACTTTAAATTTAAAAAAAAAAAAAGTTTTTCAAACACTTGGGACAAATTAAGCTTCCTATACATGAAAATACTTATGAAGCAGTATACTGAAGATATGGATCAAAAACTTACAGGAAATAAAGGTCCCTTAGTTTATGCTGGCATTAAATCAATTGTGAAGTCATCTTTGGGTAAGAATGTTCCAACTTTGATAAGTTCTATTGTAATATGTTTACAGAATGATGCACTCATGGGTTTGTCTTTAAAAATTGTTGAAAGAGGCTATTTAAAAATACAGAAACAAAGTATTTCTGTTTGTGTTTTTATATACGTAAGTTGACAGTTTATAGTAAAGTAATTTCCAGAATTTTCAGTGTTCTTGGAAAGTCAGTAATCATAAAAAGACAGTATCCTCAGAGGTAAATTTTCAAATGAACTATTTCAAACATTTGATGGCACTGAAAACTCTTGCTCCCCACATAACTATTACATTTTTTGAAGTTCCACATAGGAGTGTAGTTCTAGGAAGCTGACTTTACTGTAGTCACTGCCAATGTAGTATGTACATTTGTATAACTATGTTTAAATAAGCTGTCTTGTCCTGAAGTGATAATCACCCCTGGTGATTATGCCTCTCATGTTCAGTGAAGGTTTTTATTAGTATGATCTATTATTTGAATCTTTCCTTCTTTATTCATTGTGGGTCTTATTAATATTTATGCACCTTGGAGCAAAAAAATAACTTCAGTGGTGGGAAAGCTGCTAGGACGTTGATGCTTGCTAAGAATAAGAGAACTGGTAGAGCAGGTGCTTGACTGTGTATTACGTATTTTCAAATTGAACATACTGATAACTCCTGTCAACTGTAACAAGAACCTCCAAAATATTAGGAGGTAAAGAAAAAAAAAGACTTAGTAGGGAGTATGTGTCAAGTTTAGATGCATGACTTTTAGCAGATCAGAATAGCTTTGTGTAAGCTGCTCCTTACCGTGGAGGTTTTAGTGATTTTAAAGTACTAAAATATGATACTCAGCTTTTGTACTCTGCTTTAGGATTGAAATCAAAGCGTTGTGTTTGCAATTTAAATTGTGATTTAAGCATAATTTAACTTATTTCCCATTTCTAGGAACAACAGAGAACCTCAGGCACAGCAGGAGTGGATCTGATAGACAGGCAGATATTATTCAGTATCTGAGTGAGGAGAGGTCCTTGGCTTTACAGCTCTGTGGGTGGATAAAGAAGGGAATGGACTTAGATGTGGAACCTTTTTTAAATTCATTGGAACAGGAAGGAGATTGGGAGCGAGCTGCTGCTGTAGCACTTTTCAACTTGGACATACGGAGAGCAATACAGATTCTAAATAAAGGGGCTTCCTCGGGAAAAGGTGCGTATTGTGTTTAGCATCTTTTATTTTGGCATTGTATCACCTTAGTAGTTTCTTTTCTGTAAAGAGATATACAGAAGATGGTAGGGAAAAGATGCCTGTTGTCTTATAAAATGATTACTTGAAGTGGTTGTATTGGAGCCTGACAATCTGACAAAATCTTGATCTTTCACTACGCAGACTATCATATGCCTTACTGTCCAGTTAAAATAGATTATGTTTCAGAATTTCCTATTGGTATGTACCCCAGAAAGTGTTACACTCAGAACTAGCAGGATTCTTTTTTTTTTTTTTTTTAAATGAAATTGCATCTTGACTAGATGTCATGTATATCTGCTTCTGTTGGGCTGTATGCAGCTTTCTGCCAGTGCGATGGCTGTGGAATAACTGAAATGTAATATTCAGGGTCTGCAGAATTTGTTTTGGAGTAACATTTACTAAGAGTTGCAATGTGTGAGGGAAAAGTTAAGATACAGGAGCAAGGAGATGGAGGTGGTTTTGTTCTGTTTTCTTGCCAGTATTCCTCCTACAACTCTGATTTGCATCTGTTTTGTCTTACTAAATTTAAAAGACTAGTTTGCCACTAAAGTGGGTAGGTAAGACACAAAGGGAGTTGTTAAGGTTCTTTTATTTTTAATATTGCCCCTTTTTGGTGGGGGGAAGTGTGTGTGTGCTTTCCATAGGGAAGGTTCAGAGCAGAGACACGCTATCTTCAAAAATAAAATTGAACTTTCTGACAGAATGAATACTTAGATGAAATAAATTTAATGTTTTTAAGAAACTTGTTAACTTGAAGCTGCTATATGCAATCGTCATCCTCCAGCTAGGTCTGTTAAGTGATGGCTATATGTACAATCCTATCTTTTCAGTTTTTGTGGATATGAATTCTGGTAATTACAATCTTTTATGATAACGATAGGAACACATTTAGCAGTTCAAAACTATTTCAAAATACCAGAACCAGCATGATGTTGCTTAAAGTATAACTCAGGCTGTCATGCCTGTGGGCTTGTGACTTTTAGAGCTGTTAACTTACCTGAACAGAGGCATTTAAAGCAGAAACTAATAAATGCTCATGTATGCACATTTATTTTAGCTAGTGTTAATTCTGCTGTATTTTGTCTTGCGTCCTAAAGTTCTGTTTCAAACCGATGCTTTTAATTACAGTTTTAATTGGATTTTTTAAGTCCTTAACCTGAATATCGTTTCACTGATTGTTTTTAATAAATCAGGTGATCTGAACCTTAATGTAGTAGCAATGGCTCTATCAGGCTACACAGATGAGAAGAACTCACTTTGGAGAGAAATGTGCAGTACTCTAAGACTGCAATTGAACAATCCCTACTTGTGTGCTATGTTTGCTTTCCTGACAAGTGAGTCTGGTTCATATGATGGTGTTTTGGTAAGTAAATTTCTGTTACGTTAGAATTCCTTTAAGTAATAGGTGCATATATATATACACACACACATATATGTAGGGGAAGTGCTATATACTCCATGAATTAATCAGATTAGAATGTATTATGTGCTCCTGGCGCTGGCAGATAACACTTTTTTCTGCTAAACAGACATCTCATAGTAGTGAATGTTACTTTAGGGAACAAAACGTGAATAAGCAGCCAAAATACCCAATATAGTTCACACAGTTTTTTAGAGGAAATGGTTTTTAGCATGGAGTTATTAAACCACTAGAAAAACATTATCAAAATAATTTGAGCAGGGGGAAAAAAAGGGGGAGAGAGGTTAATAATGGATATGCACAAAACAGAGTAAGTGCAGGGAAGTTTGCAGAACTTTCATCAAGCTATATTTGCATTGAATTGTATTTTTTTTCCTTGTTTACTCGTTAAAATAATTTCACTGTGTTGAAACAGTAAACAGAATAGTTTCACGTCTTCTGAAATTGGTATAAAGTTGCCATGCGAAGAGCAAACTAAATCTTTAATTATGAGATACTTTGAGCCTTTGGAGGAGTAACATGCTTGATCCCCAGGTAGAGAACGACAGAAATACTTGATTCAGTAGGAATTATTTAGCCCAAGGGAGGGCTCCTGTAATGCAACAGGGTAATTGGCCTAAACCTGATGAAAAAAAAGTTGTCAACATATGGGGCTCTTAGGGTATTTTTTTAAAAAAAAAAAAAAAAAAAAGGTAAGAATCCCAGAGAGAAACCTGGGTCTTTTTTTCTCTCTTCAAGAGAGAATGTTCTTGTTCTCTGGGAGTTAGGTAACAATTTTATAGTTGGGTTTTGATTGATGAATTGGAAACTGACAGATCATAAGGTATGTGGGTTTTTTTAATTTTAATTTTTACTTCAGTGAGACCTGTTGAAGTTTGCATGAAAAAGATTGTCAAGCACATCTCCTTGTTTTGTCAGTGTCAGTCACAGTTTCTGTTCTGAGATATCAAGAGGGAAAAATAATGGGCACAGCTAAGTGCCAGGATTAATCTAATAAAGGATTTTTTTCTTCAGTGTCACATCTAGTCTAGTAAAAGGATTAAAAAGCAAAAAGTAAATATTATGGCATTGCTGCAGCATGAGTGCCCATATACTTGTGAGAAATCCATGTTCTGGGTATTTGGAGTTAGGTTTTGGTTGGGTTTTTTTGTTTTGTTTATTAATTTTCAGTTGTGATTTTAGGAAGGAATTCAGTGGTTAGGCTAGTTATTTTGTAAATATGGTAAATTAAGGTTTGTTTGTCTGTCTTCCCCCTGTGACTTGGTGAGACTCTTGGCTATAAGTGCTAGAAGCACTAAACCCAGCTCTACGTGACTTGCAAAGCTGCTTTTTCTAGAGTTTCGTAACTACATAGGATGTGTTGTACCAGGCTTTCCTGCCACTTGAGTAGATTGTTCAGTAGCTACAGTTTTGCTCTGATACCTGTATCTGAGTATAAACAATCTGATATTTAGTGTTAGCTTTCTTCAGATGTGATATTTTCTTTGTACATAATCATAGTATTAGTTATACAATAGTGCAAATGTTCTGACTTTTACAAACAACATATTGAAAAAGTGAAAACGTGATGATAGCATTCCCATTTTTCTCTCCAAAGTATGAAAATAACATGGCTGTACGAGACAGAGTGGCATTTGCTTGCAAGTTCCTCAATGATGCTCAGGTAAGTTTGTGGTTGCACATTTAAGCAACCTGTTAAGCTGGGCTTTATTTAGAGGCGCAAGAGCTCTGGGCTGGAGGGGGGGACAGTGGAAGCAATGAGTCATGAGTGATTTGGTTTTCCTCATCACAGCAGGATATAAGGTATGGTATAATCAGTTTGTAGCTACAGCTTGAATTTTGTGGGGTTTTTTTTCTTGTTTGGTTGGTTTTTAATTGGTATTAATGACATGCTAGTTTGTTAAATGCTATTGCATTACCTGTATATCTGTTTTAGTGAAGAGTATTTGTACTTACTCAGTATTTATTTCCAGATATTTATGTTGTCTTGAATTAAAGTTTGGTTTTACAGCA